CACCCGCGCTGTCCGCACGCTGCCGGAGCCGCTATGTCGCCACCTGTCACGCACCCACGCCAGCTGGTCGGGGTTTTGGTGCAACTAATCCCCAATCAGGCGGCGTGTGCGTGACAATCATTAGCGGTACCGAGTTAGTGTGTGAACAGGCCCGGTGATGAGTCAATGGCTGCTCGGAGTGACGTTAAGAGCCGCTCATCACCGGGCGGGATTACATGCGCTAAATGCGGCGTGAAAAAGCTGTTAGCGCGTGGGGCAGCGGCCATTTTGACTGCTCGTGACGCGTTTGCGTGGATAGGCGGAGCCACCTCCTGGACGGTGCCGTGGCAGAATAGCGGGTTGCTCCCGTTAGCTCCCGTTGGGGGCCGCCACCGTCCAGTGCGGGCAGGGTGAAGCCAAGCGAACGCGGATGCGCGGGGCACGGTGGTTGGTGGGACATGGCACGTGGTTGCCATGTCCCACGTGCGAGGGGGGCGCCTATAAAAACAGCTGCACGAGCTGTCTCGGGGAATCTGCTCCCGACTTCAGACGCGACCACTTGTACCTTGTAACAGTGCAGTATTGAATCTAAATTAAACGAACAACTAGTCATGGTATATATTCTTTGACTTGTCTTTCTCTATGTCTTTTGGATACGAATACGACATCACAATTTATAACTATCAAGTAACGTCAAACATCTTCGTTACATAAGAAGTACAAGTAAACAAAATAAGTTTCACTTTGTACCTTAAAGGCAGCCATTCTGAATGTTTTCCCTGCTTTCTCGATATTAGCACTGCCATTGGATTTTTCCACCTCGTGCAACTGATGAACCTTGTCCAAGCCTCTCCTTGCAAATTCCTGTATAATCATATCAATTAAACTAGATTTTGATATACACATATGGGATTACAACTCGTACATCAATGAACCCTTATTAGTAAAGGGGTGATTATGAGGAAATCTTCACGATTGCAATACTATTGCTATTGCTGAAAGTACGATTGCAATATAACTATATCGATCATACCATCATACTATATCATACCATGTTCAAATTTTATACATGTGCAGAAAACAAACAAAAAAACAAATGATTTCCAAAAGGTTAAATTGATCGAAAAATTCAAAACATTTACTTTTCATAAAATTCAATTATGTTCATTTTATACATTTTCTTTCATGACTAGAAAACAAGCCTAACGAGTATGGCCAACTAAATTAACATTAGAAATAAAACAACTATAACAATTCATGATAAAACAACTATGGCTGTGCAAAGCCATGCACTTATTACTACATTTTTGGAGGCAAATGCTTGTCAAGGAAACGTGTGGTTCTGTGTGGTCATAAACTTACCAGTGTTGTGAATAAAGAATTACCTCTGCATTGTTATGCATTTCACACTCAATGTAGCACTGGCACACTGCTAAATACAAGGTGCTTCTCCAGCTGAGAAAGCCAACTCCCAATAGTGGATAGGACTGTTCCATGCATGTGCAACTCCAAATTAAAAACTCAACTGCCTATATAAAAACCACAGTTTGGACAAAGAATAAGCATAGGTAAAATTTTTAATCATACATTACAACACATTCGTTACTGCTACTCAATCATACGTACATACTCATACATGCAGGGCCTCTGTAAGCAAAGTCAAGTATGCATGCATGTGTGATGTAACCTGCACCTGCACATTTTACTTGAATAATAACAATTGAGCATATATATGGCAATGAATTATTACTTACCTTAGCAGAGTGTTCATTCATCATCAGCATTCTACACAAACCGTACATCAGCACGGTGGCATTATAGACGAGCCAGAACACCTCCGGTACTTGCAAAACATACTGCATGAATATCTGCAGAAACTTTAGAAGCTTCATCACACTGCAAATGGTGCTTGCATCTATAGGTGCTTTGGATTCACAGAGAGTCTCACACCTACAGCCCACAACTCCTAGCAATGCACGACCCTGTGGGACAGATGTCTTTATTAAATATATGTTGTTGTGCCTATAACTGATATTGATATTTAATATGATTGACATTATAATATACAAATTCACACCACTGTGAACTTCATGCTGCTTGAAAATAAATACATTAAAAAATATTATTGAAATTATCAAGAATATGAATAGAAGACAATAAATAGGAACTTGCAGTGAAATACAATAGACAATACATTATTTAATCAGAAATAACTGACTGTGAGTAGTGAAAGTGGAGAGTCCAGTCCACTAGCGAAAAATTCTTTTTCGAGCTGTAGCCCATCAGTTATGCTGAATATGTTCGTAGACGAAATCTCGCACAGAGCAAGGCTGTAGCAATGCGTCTCCGCAAGATAGCAATGCTAAAACAAATCACATCAAATGTTACTACCAAAAATCTTGTATAACCACCACCCGCAGTGCCGGATTAACCATTAAGCAGACTAAGCACGTGCTTAGGGCACCAGGTCCAAAGGGGGCACCACAAAGTTGGGAAAAGGGTAAAAAGAAAAAAAAATGAATAAAGATTTGTACTTCCCAGGTGTACCACAAGGGGCCCCCAGCAATACAATACAATACAAGGGGCCCCTAATGCCACCCAACAAGGTGCTAATTCCCAATTATCAGAAAGTGAAAGGTACTCAAAGACTTGTCAGACACTCATTGATGCTTATCCAGATGACATGAACAACACTTTGTCTACAGAGCTTCAGCAGTTCCATTCATATGTTCTTCATAAGTGTAAAACAACCAAGAAAACATCTTTCACTCACATGGAACTTTACAACACAATTGCAGAAGACAAACTAGAGAGTGCCTTTCCAAATGTTGAAATTGCCTTAAGAATATTTTTAACATTAATGGTCACCAACTGCACAACAGAGAGGTCTTTCTCACAACTAAAACGTGTAAAAAAAACAAATAGATTGACTCGTAGTCAGAATGAAGGTGTACATGCATGTACGCTCAAAATTGCCTCAAATACCATCTCCTGCTATCTACATTTTAAAAAATTTCTGGGGGAGGACCCCCATACCACCGCCTGTTTATCACCACCCTCCATGAAATCCTACATAAATTTTTGTACTGCTGCAACCTGCATTGTATATTTGGTCAGACAGGTCAACAACTAAAATGGACTGGGTCAGTGTGGAAAGGAGGGGGGCACCAAGATTGGTCAGTGCTTAGGGCACCAGTGAGCCTTAATCCGCCCCTGACCACCCGGCCCCTTCTCACCAGAAAAAGAAGTACCTAGATGTCATCATTACAAGCATTATTCCTTGTCATTGGTGACAGCATAGCCAACAAATTCTAAAAGGATCCATAGTACATAGTCATATAGTAGTAGTACCTTACATTCCAACAGAAAATCTCCTATCTCAATTAGTTTGCTATGTAGTATTTGTTTCTGAAGACGATTCCTATATTTTTCCCAGATGGCAAACAAGGTTTCTGACCTGGAAAACATATTAAAATTAAAATAGAATTTATTGCACAAATATCACTCCGATACATTGGCAAAAATAATTAATTAATGTACTAATTAGTAATTACTATAATATAATATAATAAATTAATATTACACACACACACGCACGCACACTCACACACACATATATATTATTTTATATTCAATAATTAATATATTCAATTGCATAGTAAGCCAATATATGTATATATATATATACATGTATCCAATAATACAATAGTGGCAATACATAATCCTAAGGCTAAGTAATATTATTATTAAGACTAGAGTAGGGCCTAAAGTGCTCATGATACAATCACAGAGGGTAGGCCCTAATTGGCAGTAATTACGGAAGAGTAATAGCTTTTATACCGGATTAATGACTATAGACCCGTTGTAACTTACAGCTTATGAGGACAGCTGTCACTGTCACCTGCACTTTCTTCAAGTCTCACACATTTTTCTCGGCTGGTTTTCTTGTTACAAATTTCAATCTGTTCCATGAAATCTGAGAGTTCCTGCTGGAGTGATAATTCAACCACTCCGCTTACTTTCCCTGGAAGAACCTTTAGGCGTGGTCGAAACATACCGGGTAAACTCATTATAACTATAAGTTATATAACGATATTAAATATCAAAAGTCAAACGTCAGCTTCCTGTAGATGCAGGTCAGATCTATGCCATGATCAGGTCAACGTAGTTAGTGGGTAACTGCAGCTCGGAGCGTTTCTATGGCAACACCTTCTTTGCCTCGAAAATGGCACTTGGTTCAAAATAAACGACACGTCACACCTGACGTTACTGTCGTAAGATCCTGTAACTCTCACATAGATATCTACTATATACATAAAATATATATATATATATATATATATATATATGTGTGAATGTAATTGTTTATAGATAGTGTATATTAATTGTAGCTATCTACGCCTATGGTCAGTCTCATACCACGGCGTAGAGAAAATCTTTAATGACGTCAACATTTTAGCGCAGGGGTTGTGATTGGACAATCGGGAAAGGGGGCGCCACTTATCGGTCCCGCTTCGTTTCCGAAATACGAATACGAAATACTAGAAGTTGTTATGAATTTTCACGCTTCTCAGTCGCAAGAAAATGCGAAAATTACAAAGTTCTTCTCAATGAAAGGCGTAGACGAAAGAAAAAGGAATACAGCAGCGTTGGTTAGTTTTATGAGGGTATCTGAGTGAGAGACGGTCTCCTACGTTTACCTACTCTGTTATTTGCGAAAATTGCCAGTGTCACTAGCCTAGGCCTATAACTTATAAGTATAACCCAAACCCAGGATAGGTACAATAATGTAAGCCTATCCTGGGTTTGGGTTACATTATTGTATCTAGTGTCAGTAGGCCTAACGCTGAGAGCACAGGGACTTGAAGCGTTTCAATAAAATATAATGCTAACTAAATACGAAATCTATTTACTACTACTAGTAGTCTAGTGTACTACCAAATTCTTAATGTTTCACCTCTCTTGAATCACCTATTATTGCCGACAGTTTCCTGTAAATTCCGTCCAAATCCTACGTGCAACCATATTCGCGGCTCCACTGTTGCACGCTTACACTAATATATATAGTATAATACTTATATAATACTTATATAATACTTATACTAATCTATATATATTAGTGTAAGCGTGCAACAGTGGAGCCGCGAGAGCAATGGCGCCGGCAGCGTATATTGTACTACTATATATATTAGTGTAAGCGTGCAACAGTGGAGCCGCGAGAGCAATGGCGCCGGCAGCGTATATGGTTGCACGTTGGATTTGGACGGAATTTACAGGAAACTGTCGGCAATAATAGGTGAAAGAGAGTATAGAAACATTAAGAATTTGGTGGTAAATAGATTTCGTATTTAGTGAGCATTATATATTATTGAAACGCTTCAAGTGCCTGTGGCTGAGAGGGTCTATGTCCCCCAGGGTACTGCCGGAAGGTACCCTGGGTACGGTCCGGTATACCGGAACGTACCCTGGTACTATCTAAGATGCCGGACCGTACCTTGCCTACTCCAGTTACGAGTCTAGGGAGTCGTCTACGCCTACTCCCTAACCCTAATCCTAGTAGTATTAACCCTAACCCTAACCCTAACCATATCAAATAGTTACCAGGGTACCGGTACCAGGGTACGTTCCGGCAGTACCCTGGGGGACATAGACCCTATGAGCGTCAGGAACAGTGCAGTGGCCGCGTGACAGTGTTATCACATAAATGATATTTTTATGTTGCCTATAAACATTACTATATCAATTTTTGCCCTAAATATGCACATGTTTTCTTATCAGCAATAATATTTATATCAAATCTCCATAAAATTTTCATGCACTGACCATTTCATGTTCCTCGTAATAATTTATGGTTCTTGGTTACCATATTCTACAACATCCTGCACTGTATAAGTGGCATACGTGGAGGCGACGCATGCGCAACTGGACTGCCATACTCGCAGCCTCGTAAATTGGAAATAAGGCTGCCGTAACTCCAGCCACGGCCTTATTTTGTTTGCCTCGTCACAGTATATACACTACAGCGAACTAATGTGTACTATTAGCAGGGTGCGAAACTAACGGGAGTCCAGAGTCAAATACTCCCTAATTTATTTTCGGACTCCTGATTTGACATATGCAGGAGTCCATGTGACTCCCTGAAAATTCTGCTATATGCACTAACTAGTTCGTTCCACAGCATGGCCTCGCGGAATTATCGTATTTTTCCAGCAAATGTCCCTAAGAAAATTTAGCAGATGTGCACCGCAAATGTCCTCCAATGTCCAACGTGTTATTGTTAATATCTTTAGTTTTGAACTTCAGACTGCCGACTCCCCCATTTTGCTGCGGACTCTCTCTTTTTTAGGGTAGGGGGTTCGTTGGACTCCCTACTTAGTTAAAAAGTTAATTTCTAACCCTGTATAAGTATAAGTTGTAACAAAGCTGAACTAAACTGTACTATAATGCAAAGTTTAAGCAAGTTAATGCAAAGTTTAATAAAACAAGCCAAATATTGTAAGATATTTATTTTCTCTGTGATATACTTTTTCATCAGTTTTTAAGAAGGTAGACGATTTTCCAATGGATAGGTATCAAGTTTTGTATTGACGTTGGTATTGCAGCCTGGTCAGTGGTCGGGCTAGGGTAGCAGTGGGTGGGTGTGTATAAAGGTTGTGAGATGTCCTCATTTAACCAAGAAACTTTAGTTCCTGTGCTAGTGTTGTTGTTTGGTGTTGTGTCCGTTGGTGATGTGTAATGAACGAGCAAGACTCACCGACACTAGGGTTAACTCAAGCGTGATTATGTGACTGATCCTTACCATTCACACGTGATTGATTTTGGAGCTAGTTTTATTCTTGTGCCATTCATCGGCTAACCAGTGCATGACTTTTTATATCCCAAGCTTTTAATCATATCAATGAGCTTTTCTGTATTATTTTTACATATCAAAAAGGCGGAAAGACAAGATGTTGCAAAGCCTAGAAGAACTCTACAAACTTTACAGCCAGCTGCGAATAGCAAAACTAGGCTAGTTGGGATTCAAGGCACAGTGGATCCAACACTTGTGAGAAAGGTAAACAACATTCTGTTAAATACCATTTGCTGAGGAGTGAACATTCAAGTATTTTCGTTTATTTGTTTAATCAGTGTAAATGGAATATGGACATACATCTTGAAATAAGTTAGATCAGATTTCATGATAATATAACAATAAGTTTACATAAGTTATTCATTTATTAAACCTGTTGCCAATAATTCTAACAACTAGTCTAGTTCGCTGTGTCAAGCTAACAACTAGTCTAGTTCGCTGTGTCAAGCTGAATAAAATTGCTTTAGATTGCCACCAAATGACACCATGACCACTCAGAGTGATAAATGTAATCTACTGGTATAATGCAATGATAAAATAGACCACAATGACACGTGTGGTTCAATAGCCTAGAGTGCACATGCATAACCCATACCTAACCCATAGAACTACGCAACTCTGCCGTCACATACCAAATGGTAATAACCATGTTTCTGACTGGTCTACGACTAAGAGTATGTAAGATTAAATAGTAGGAAATTTTCTTCTGGACACACAAATAAAGATAGGCATCCAAATTTGCAAACGCGCAGACAACATAAACAGGGAAGACAGCACATACAAACTATCCCATGTCTCTGACAACCTCATGAAGCCCAGGACCTCATCGTAAGCCGCTCGCAAGACCAGGGGTGCCACTAGCAACACTAGCTGATCCATATCTGGTACTTGTCACCTACTGTCATCTGGTGTCAACTGTCAAGTCAAAGCAACTTCATTCAGCTGGACAAAGACAGCTAGAGCAGTCGTTAGAACAGTCGTTAGCAGACCTGTCAATATGTTTGGAATGAGTATGACGTAAGTTAATATACCAAGTTTGTACACAGAGAAAAGAAAAACGCAAACTGCACGATGATGCCACCTGTATGAGCAGTCCTGCTAAGATAACAAAATCTGAGCCAGCATTTATGTCAGGTAAGGTCTTAAGGAACTGCTTACAATTTCACTGGTCTACCAAACTGCTACCCTCATGTGTGGGAAGCAGTGTGCAAAATTAGCGCTATTTTGCCGGTAGCCGTCGGTTCAACCCCCCATGTCGATTATGTCGTTCAACCCCCCAGTAATTATCGAAATAAATAAATCAAAAAAAAAAATCAAATCATGTAATCAGTCCACTTGGCCTATTCAAAATTTTGCCTATCTTGCCTTTATATCAACAATATTTACCAATTTCCTGACTAGTTTTTACTTAGTGACTACTAAAAAGTAAATCATGTTCCAGCAATTCCTCTCAACAAGTAGAACTCCACTGATATCAATGAAATACTGAAATACTATGAGTATGCGTAATAAACTCAAAGCTAATACTTTTATTAATAATGGAATAAATTGAACAAAATTAAGGGCCTGTTCAAACTGGTAAGGGCTTGTTCAATTTTGGGTGGGCCTGTTCACATTTTGGCTAATTTCATGCCCTGAGGAAGGCATATGCCTATAGTGTGTGCACGTATAGCAAAGGGACAGCTAGTAGGAGGATTGTCTGTCTGTCGGTAGGTGTCATTCAACTCTTATAGACCTTATTATGCTCACCTTAAGACCTTATTATACCTTATTATACATTATTAGACCTTATTATAGACCTTATTATGCTCGCTGACATGAAATTTTTCTCCGGAGATTTGCGGTCTATAATATCGAATAAATGTATTATATATGAACAGACCCGGCATTGTATTTCTTATAGGTGATGACAGGATAGCAGCAGTTAACATATACTGTGACCGCATCCAAAGAAAGAGTGGAGGTAAAACTGTGAAGGGCGTGGCTTGTCAGACAGAGGAAACTGGCGCAGCAGCAAAAGAAAAAACGCCTGACGAGCAAGCATTCGAGTTAATGTGCCAGGGTTAGTGTCCGATATAATAATATGTTAATGTTTCTACTTAAACTTGAATTTATGTGGTAATGTTACTTTCAAAGTGAAGAAATATTTACCTTGTCAATTTAGTAATTGACCTTGTTTCAGCAGGGTCATGTAGGATTCAGCAAATATTATTAAATTCGACCGTCGAGGCCCTGATGAATTTATGATTTATAGGTTATAGGCTATTATTATAAATTATTTTATCACCGCAATAGACATAGAAGTATTATTGTATATTATATGACTCGATGTGAAAAGTACTAAAATAATGATCCTGTAGAACAATACATCATTGCAATATATAACATTCACGTGATCATGTATGTATGTATGTATGTATGTATGTATGTATGTATGTATGTATGTATGTATGTATGTATGTATGTATGTATGTATGTATGGATGTATGGATGTATGGATGTATGGATGTATGTATGTATGTATGTATGTATGTATGTATGTATGTATGTATGTATGTATGTATGCATGCATGCATGCATGTATGTATGTATGTATGTATGTATGTATGTATGTATGTATGTATGTATGTATGTATGTATGTATGTATGACGTGATCTGTCTGTATTTGTAGAGGAGGTTCCACTGGAGTACTGGAAGCAGTTGGCAGAGCAAAGAAGGGATGCATTAGAAGAAGCCTTGAAAGAGAATGAAGAGGTATTAGTATAGCAGTCATTACATAATGATGTTGTCGTTGTGTGAGTTCTGTAGTGGCTAAGTCACATATTTACGTAGATATCGGATGAGAGAACGAAAGCTTTATTGCCACTTCTACTCAATATGAATTTTCATTATATGTAAGAACAATGGTTTGCTCCAGGTTGTTATTATATCCATGTCCACCACACAAACTAAGATTATAGTGTGTTAGTGACTACTGCTATAGCTATCTAAACATGTTACATAAGGACTGTGATGCAGACCAGCAATGATGTTCCAGTAGTCAGCATCTGTTTACACTGACATGCTTCAACTACTCAGTATTACTACAATGTCTGAAACTGTGCTGTAGCTTCATGAGAAGAACCAAGCAATTGGAGAGGAGCTTAGTGGCCTAAACAGCGAGAACGAAAATCTGAGAATCGAATATGAACAAAGAATAGAAGAACTCGTCACCCAAGCTGATTATTTTAGCACCATGATAAAGGTACAGTTCAACATATAGAAATTACTATGTCTTTTTGTAACCTAAACCAAACTGTGTTATCTAGGTAGAGGTGTTTTGTAATCTATTTCTATCATAAGTGACAGTTGTAGTGCCAGAATCTTGTGCCATGGAACCCTGTAGCGCTTGTTAAATGTGATCGTGGTATCATATTAACTCTAATTCTCATGGAACCATAACCTTAACTTTACATATTAACAGACTTTAGCAAATGGTGAAAGTCACACAGAAGGCAGCCTGGCAGTAGACTGTGACACTGCAGAAGAAGCTGACAAGCTACTTGGTGATCAATCAGAAGATTGTGATGAGAGAGAGGATGGTGCCAATGATCTTAGGAATGAGGAAAATGAAGAGGCAAGAAGACTGCTGGAGACAGACACAGAGAGTGGCTACCACAGTGTGGCATAAATACAGGCATAATGTGTAACATTGATTTGATATTTCCTTTAACACGCCGTTTACCTCATTGCTAGTTAATTACTAGTTTTTTGTGTTACTCTGATCACAATATGAAGAATTTTAGTTACATGATGTTGTGTGAGTCTCTTAGTTTTGATTTTTTGTGTATTGCACCAGCATTTCAGTTGGATGGCCGACAGCTCTGTATTTGCAAGGGGTGTAAATGATTTCACTAAGGAATGCAGTATTGTATGTTCATTGTCATGTGTATGAGACGTTTATGTGTTTACTTTTACCTGCCATTGTATGTCTGTCAATATACACATCGATATTGTCTGTGCTAATGTAGTAGTTAATGTACCATTGAGAGACTTGGTTTCCTTTTGTAAGGCCTTAATGCATATAATAATGCTGTATAAAATTTCCATTGTCTCACTAATTATTATTTTTATATTGTATTAAAATATGTAACCCACAAATAATTTTTTTGAATAAAACTATAAAGTAAGATTTAATTCAATCTAAGAAAACCATTTTATTTTAAAGCACTTGTGTAATAATTTCTTACAAGATTTCAATTTTTGTACCTTTATTTGAACATGAAATTTTATTAAACATCACAGAATGTGACCACATCTGCCACGTATCAAATATTTATGTACTAGTTTAATATTCTCGTTTGCTTGTAAAAACTGCATCTGTTTGACAAAACCTGTAGAAGACTAACACTGCATCTAGATGAAACAATTAAAACTGGCCTGCACAACAATAACAACTTTGTGTATAGGCCTGAACTCATTTCAATATTAATTTTCCAATGTAGAATAATGCTAAATTTATGCCGAATCTTAAACCTACGTCATATTACAAGTTTGTTAAATATTATTTGTGAAATTGGAGAATGAAAAAAGAGATTTTTATGTGGAGGTAATGTGGGAATCAGGATATCTGTGAGAACATGTATTATTACCAGAAGCTACTTCTTAGAAGTCGTTGGTTCCACGAACACTACCTTTGTCTTGCGCCGTTTCTCTGCCTTTAGTGCATCCGAAGCATTTTCAACAAAAGCCTAAATAATCCAGAAATATGTTACGCATGACAAACACGGTATAACTTTGAAGAAATTAATGATATTGTAGAGTGGAGCATGATTGTTGGCGTTTTTGATGAGTAACCACGGCAGTATACGGGTGTTTTCTCGTGTGGTGGGGAATAACAAACGCACCATGAGGTTCTTGCTCATGTAGTACGGCTTCGTGACGCCGTCGTTGAGTTCAGAATCTTCACAGAAGCACAGGAACAACGTGTCGATGGTCATCTGTTAAAGAGCAGACATATTCAGGGAATCATGGTAACATTAGCCACTCACATTTCTGTTCCGAAACAATTTACCCCTTTCCTATGCAATGTGATCTGCTGCCACCTATCATTTCTGTGTCGGTACCGACTTGTGTCCTGAACCATTAGTTAGTAACGTGCGTGGTCCATACACCATTTACACATGTAATACGGTCCGTTACCACCCGTCATTCCCGGTCGCATACAGATTTACCTTTGCGAAATAGAACGTGTGTGTGTATCATCGATGTGGTATTGGTTTAATGAAATCTAAACTCCACAACCTACCTCGTATACTGACAAAAACATGTCGGCGATGAAGAAAGCGAAGATGCAAGCAACGGCTACCGGCGTCCATCTGTAGTACACGACAACATCCAGGTGCTGGGGGGGAAACACGAGCTATCGTAGATACGAGTGCTAGAGCCTCTCTCCACCGTCTATCGTTATACATATATAAGCTGAATATAATGCGTTACGACGTGCAGGTGTTTGATTACATTCATTTAAAAAAAATTTGATAATAAAACTGAACAAAACGTACCACCGCAGACGAGAGGCGAGCGGTGGCATTGGTGGCACGTACGTAAGGACTCGCTGGTTCACGTTGTATATGTATGCGCCATCTGTCGTGCGGCTTACCTCCACTAGAAGCAGCCCGATGACGGCTGTGCAAGCGGTCACTCCGATCTTGCCGAGGAAGAGCGTGAAGTCGCCGACGCTGTTGATGGCGGCGATCCTTAGCGCGTTACCGACGATCAGCATGAACGCCTTCTGAGCAGCCTTGCACAGTCCGTAGCCGTGGATGGCTGCATCAGGAAACAGGCGCACATACTAACAGTGCGAATGTGACCACTATACCAGTGCTTCTCAACCTTTTTAAACGCGTGGCCCACTTAGACTGTTGAAATTTTTTCGCGGCCCACTACCATAAATGAGGCAAGAAAAATTAAATTTAAATTTAAATTTTTTTACTAAAACTGATTAAAACTCATTCTGCATACTTCAATGAGACACTTGAGCTTGCTTCTTGGAAATAATAAGATCAAGTCGTGGTTTGATGGGGGACAGGCTCACACGCAATGTGGCATTAAGAGTGTCTGCTTTGAGACTGTTTCGTGCTTTTGATTTTGTCACAGTTACAGTGGAGAAGCCAGACTCACAAAGATAGGTTGTGGTGAATGGTAACAGAAATTTGATGGCACGCTTTGACAGTGAAGGGTATTCATTACTTGCAAGTATCCAGAATGAAGGAAGGTCTTTCTGTGTAAGCTGAAGCTTCAGAGTACTGTCCGTAGAAAGTTCTCTTTTTTTAATTTTTTTTTTTCTGGCCGAGTTCGCGGCCAGAAAGAGAGAGCTTCGCGGCCCACCAGCGGGCCGCGGCCACCGGTTGAGAAGCGCTGCACTATACCATACACCATTCTCATACCAGTCGGCATTTGAAAAGCGATGATTTCGTTATTAAACATGTTTGTATTTATTTAATAAGGAATGAATAATAAACAAATGGCAAGTAATGGAGTGTGCTGCAATAATGGAATGCTAATGTATTGTGTCTGTTGCTGCTGTAGGTACCTATTTCGATGTAAGCGTTTCTATTTAGAAACTTGAGAAATTTTTCAAAGCACCACAGGCAGCAGGAGAGACATTTGAGGATGTATGTGACCATCTTGTTCTTCTTGTAGCGAAGCCTAGAAAAATTAAACGATTGAAACCTTATTTTATGCGCAATATTATTCCGTTCCCTTCCAAATTTCATATATTCAATATTCTTGTATTTTTAGACGTCCAACATAACAGGAAGATATTTCACCCACGACACGTGGGCGCTATGGAAACGTACATCTTTTCAATGTAGAGGAGGATGAGGCGACACAGCTGGACAAGGGCGATGATGAGAGAGCCGAACGCCACTGATCCCAGGTGGTAGCGGATCAATCGACAGGTGGAGGCAGCGATTGGGCAGCCGAGCTTGCTCTTGTCTCTGCAATGCAGTGAATATAGCAAAGCGTTGTGGGGTGGGAAGGGGCGCATAGCTATCGCTGATGCATGGCATAGACTAAAGATTAAGCATTTTATATGATATCTTACATCTTATACCGATATGTTTTTTAACAAAGGTCATTCACCTGCGCACGTACATTTTGCACAAGTAGAGAGCCTTAGATAGTATTGCGATTGTATACCTGGTAAAGAACCACGTGGCCACCGCGCCTGCAATGATCATATGCTGGCAGGCGATTATGAACTGGACTAGCCACAGTCCTCCAAAGATATAATACCACTTCATATACTGTAAACGTAAACATGGTTACTTCGCACGAGAATCTGTCAGTGAGTATGATAACAACCTTTGCATACAAAGACGCGAATTCTTCCCAGATAAAAACAGAAGATGTAAATCGTAAATTAACGTATTAGATAAAGCGAATTTCTTCGTTAGGTCAATCCAAGGCGTGCATTTATGAAAAGACAATTAGTTGTCATGTGAGCATTGTTAATCTGTTTACAAACCGCGGGTTTGCAAATTAATCACGATTTGTGTAATGAATTAACGCGCAGTCACTTGCCCACATCTGCTGTTCAGGTACGAAGGTGACTGTGTCATCGTCTGCATCAATTACAGCTTCATCTGCAGAGTCACGCGCGCGCGCATTATTAACACCTTATATTCGATAAATGGCGCATTGACGTTGATAAATACACGCACTTTCAGCTTTAAACCATCATACTAGGAACAACATGAAACATCAGCGACACTTTAAAGATAAACTAAATTACGAAATAACAAATTAGGACTATAGCGTGATGTAAACGCATATCGCTTATTACTAAAGGAACAATTAAGTTATATATGATAAACACCCGCAGTAGTGGTACGTTACCGCACACCCTTGCACGCACTTGGAGAAACTAGGAACACGCTACCTGCTGTTAATACGTAGAGAAAGATAAAGCCAACCCCTCCTATAGCTGAACCAAGTGCTAGAATAGTCCAAAGAGGTTGCAGTAAGAGCAGTGGCATAGATCCAACGGCTTTCCCCGCCTCTTTAAACAGAGCGACAACCTATTGAAGAAACAAAAATCCTTTGTAAATGATTAGATAAACACTATATAAGGTATAGGCCTAAATATTGCAAAGTTACTGATAATAAATATATTAAAGATAAACTGTAAGACATGCTTTTGTACCATAAGCATACTAATAATTTGATAAGACATTACGTAAGGCATTCTCATGCCTTGGATTTTTACTATAATTATTATACTTTTAGTTATTAGGCGCAGTTGATATGTCAACAGCCAAGCATTCCCGGCGAACTACGTTGTTGGTATTATTATTTTGATGTTATATGGAGGCTATATATATATCTGACTATCAAAGAAAACCATGCAACACCTACCAGGGCGATTCTTTTTCGCAGAACCAGCACAATAAGCATGAATATTGCAGTGATTCCGCTTGCAACGCAAGCATAGATAAACCAGTATAGAAGCGCCTTCTCTTGCTCTGGTGTCCTGTCTGCTTTAGGGACTAGATCCAGCTTAGCATTCTCTTCATACCAAATATACCTGCATAACAGATAGACTACTATGATATCTATAGGCAGACTCCTGATAAAGGTAATAGGACGCGCAATTCTAATTAGGGCTGCTTATGGATCCAATAAATAGTTTTTACTGTGCTGTAATGGTATACAAGACCGTCTTAGGTTTGATTCAAGTTATGCGTCTAACTGTAACATTGCATTGGACCTATCTATTTTGCACAGCGTGTGACAGTCTCACCATTATAAGGTCGATATTGCTATAGACGCCTCACGATAATTAGAATCCTGAAAAGTACATAAACTTACCAAACAAATCCTGTAGTTCCGAGAGCAGCGCAGGTGAATACTATCACTATCAACCAGATAACTAGTCCAGCAAATATTCTCAGAAAAATTACCATTCCTAGAGCCACTCCTGTGAGTTGTAAAAAAAAAAAATTAATAATCCATCGCCTCAGTTATATGTTTGTTGCACAATCGTATGTTTACGTCAATTTCGTGTGCACATACCGATAGCACATGCGCTCATATATCCGATCTCCCTCCAAGTTCCCATCACGTCCGCCACCACTTTCTGCAAGTAAAACATATCATGCATATATCGATGACTTAAAATTAACGCCCGCCCAAAAAATATGACGCCCATCGGACACACACCACACACACGCACGCACGCACGCACGTACGCACGCACGCACACACACACACACACACACACACACACACACACACACACACACACACACATACATACCAGGAGTCAGTAAAAAACACATGAACAACAATGAAGACAGGACAGATTATTAGGTATGTATTATATATAAATAAATGTATATATATATATATTTATTTATTTATTTATTTATGTGTATGCGTGCGTGCGTGCGTGTTTGCGCGCGTGCGTGCGTGTGTTTTCCGAAATGTCGCAACGTCGCTGCTTGCTTCCTTTTCCCTCTATAAGAAATATATATACATGAAGGAATAACAAAACCTGTTTTCGCGTAGCTCAGCATAACGATGAAATTTACGATAGAAACCGCACCTGAGAGAACCCTTCTGAAGATTGCCCCATCACTCCTTGTGTAAAAGACTGTGCCATTGATATAAAAGCAGCGGGCAAACACCTATTGAAGAGCTCCACGCTGTGGATTAAAGGTGAAAAACGAATTTACTGTCATACCACATTAAAAATTGCCAGCAATATACGACGTTTGTTTCATAACGTACGTACGTTAGTACAAAAAACCACGTTCGTTTTAGTTAAACTCCCAAAAAGGCAAATCCACCATGTACAGAATTAGTCGTTTGCTTACTGAGTCACAGCAACTGCCTGGCATTCAAGAAGCGTGCTCAGTCCCGGAAGTTGAAGTTGGTCTGGATAAGTCGGGCAGCTCAATGAAACATTTCCTGTAGGGCATTGCTGCACACACACGCGCAAGGCAGACGAGCTTAGCATGTTCTCCACGGTATCAAAGCTCTCCGGGTAGAGGAGGTGACTGCGAATGTTGACATACATTTGTGTGCGTTTTGTCTAAAACTATTTAATAATTAAATATTATCATATATGAGACGGGATGATAGGAGAAAACACAATGAAGCCAGAAAAATTACACAGGAGAGCTCAGAAATATATTACTGAACGTATAAAGATATTCATACGCACGGGTAAGTAGAGAGATCTTGCCCGGAATAGCTGGCATTTGGTATTAACCCATTCTTCACACCGCATGTGTTACCCCAGCTGTCATAGCCATTTATAACGCGGTATGGGTCGCCTCTTTCATATCCAAGATACCCAACGTATGCCTATATAAAGTAAAAAAAATTGAGATAGCTCGTTTCTGCAATAAAAGCAACGCGTCTCTTACACAATACTGCACTTTGACGCTTGGCAGCTGAGACAACACCAACCCGTGCCATCTTCCGAGTGTACGCTCTCTCTCTCTCTCTCTCTCTCCTTCGCGCTCGTGCGCGCACAACACACATACAAGGTCGCTGCTCTCCCAATAACTCCACACGCAAGACAAACAGAACAGGTCGCCGTGGCCGCGAGGATTTGCATGACAATGAATCTATGTCTCTAACCTCCGTCCGCCCCCATCCCCTCCCCTTCCAGCTGCCCGCGTACCGGGGGAAACCATCCGCGCGCGGGCGTGCACGTGCACGTGCGTGGAATACCCGCGATCCCTGTAGTGGGGGGAGGGGGGGGAGAGGGCGTATATATCGAGTGAAAGATGAATGACTAAAGGACGAGCGTCTGCACATCTGCGCGGCTACTTTCGAGGCACATCAATTACAAGCTCCCAAACAGATGTGTGTAACTATCACTCGTCTCCCTCTCTCTCGTACGCACGCTATGCCCATCTCTCTCTCTCTCTCTCTCTCTCTCTCTCTCTCTCTCTCTCTCTCTCTCTCTCTCGCTCACTCGCTCGCTCCACTCTCTCTCTCTTTCTCTTTCGTGGTTATATTTAGTTAATTACATCTTTAATTTGTATGGTCTTAATTGTTACTTACTGTTCCGCTGAGGGCAGCAATGAACAAGATAAGAAAAATCACATCCCGGTAGCCTCTTTTTGTCAGCGGTCCGTTGAAATCATCATCCACCTCAGTAACCTATATATGTATATATATCATGTATATGTGTGTATACATATATTCTGCCAATAGCCAGAGAAAGAAATGTGTCTCGAAAGCTTGCACTATGGAAAATATAAAAATTGAAATACAAGCTAACATATCTGTATTTTGGTTACACAAATATTTATGCTTTCAATTTATATCACCTGTTTGATAGGCTTTACCGTAGTTCCACAGCTGCAACAACCCATCGTGTATAATTTGTATCACAGTACCTTTTACATTTTCATTTGTATAAATATACTACATTTTGGTTAATTGTGTACTCAACGAACGTTCTCTTCTAAGTTCGAAGACGTTATCAAAGCTGCCGGTATTGAACTGCGTTGCTAGGCGATTTAGGAAGCATTACATAGTAACACTTGCGTGACATAACAATGTACAAACCGATAACAATATATACAGTGTATTGATTGTGCATGTAGGCCTACTAAGTTGGCGGCAAACATTGGCAAACGCGGCTAATTGCTGCGTGCGATAGATATGATAAGGGGTTCTTATATTTAGTTTATGCAGCTATACACTTCACCCCAGAAGGTAATTAAAGGATGTCTCTGCGCACACATACTATGTACTATAGGAAATCACATTTGATTGGAACTGTTTGTTGGAGCGGGCATATTCAAGAAGTAAAGGTGTCTTTAAAAATATGACACACATCGAATGTCTTGTAGCAAACCCGCTAGCTATGCGACCCTAAGTGTAGCATATAATGTTGGCATTATTTTTATGTAATTAGCAATAATATTTGTACGCGTAAAAAAATATATATACATACTCCAGTGGCGTAGACAGGTCCTCAGTTGTGGGGGGGGGGGGATGATTTCGCTGTTACTTCCATCGCAATGTATATGAAGAGTGTGCGCGATGAGCGCAGACCGCGAGCGCCTTGGCGAAGCTCTTAATGGATGGGGTCCAGAGGCCCGCCCTATAGGGCCCCTGGCAGGGTGCAGGGGCAGAGCCCTTGCCCGGGGCCATGCAGGGGGCGGAGCCCCCGGAAGCTCTTGGATTTTAGCAATTTAGAACCTTCAAGATGGCCGTTTTTGAGAAAATTTTGTGAATTCTAGAGTATTTTTTTTCTTTGGATCCCAGCGGTTTAATAACACGCCTCCTCCCCCCACACACACAACCAGTGGCGGATCCAGAAGAAAATTCTTTGGCAGAGCCCGGGGCAGAGGGAGCAGAGCCCCCCCCCAAATTGAATTTTCCCATTCAATCCCCATGAAAATTCAATATCACAACTCTCAATAGGTCTATTCTAATTTTGAATAAAGCAATTGGATTTAACTTTCGTGAGCAGTGATAAGACAAAAAATCGTATATATGCGTCCAAAATTAACCGTCTGAGTTTCAGTAAAATAATGTCATTCTTGGAACGAGTTACAGCCATTTTACAGTAGATGTATGTCACGTTCCATTTCTGTAATAATACATTAGGAGAGTATGAATAGCGATGACGGATTTGTAGATAAATATCCAGTATTTATTGTCTGTAAAATATTAAATTTTTCCCCATTTTCTGCCTGAAAGTAGGAGGGATGAAAGCCACCCCACCTCAATAAGTGTGGGGGATATATTTGTCCTAGCCCCCGCTATCTACGCCCCTGTCAGATGAACTCAAATTTGACTTTTAATATGCATACAAATATTCATAATCATAATCTTTTTTAGCAGTACTCTACAGGCACCGCGGAACGATTTTTGAAGGGGGGGGGGTGCTCAATTTATTACGCTCGACAGTGGCCAATGCAGATTTTCGAGGAGGGTAGTAAGAAACAGGCGGGTGTATGCGGGTCCTCTCCCAGAAAATTTGGAATTCCCCATTTTCCTCCTGAAAGTAGGGAGGGTGATTGTACACGCCATCCACCCACGTCAATAAGTGGGGGATGCATCCCCCCCCGCTATCTACGCCCCTGCGTCATATGATAATTATATTAGTCATATCAGGAGTAAGATAATATAGGATATATATATATAATATATAATATATCCTATATTATCTTACTCCTGGTCATATCTGATATGTTTGCGCATTTTGTGCTCTTGAACAGTGCTACGACTATATAATTAATATAATAATGTATACGTATAGTGCTATATTTTTCAGCTTTACAGTATCAACCATGATCTCTATACTACAGTATATATATATATATATATATATATATATAATATACTAACACTAACAGTGTATTATAGAGTAGTCAGTAATATAGTACCAACATATGAACAATAATTTACCTCGGTAGATGGCGCGACATATTGATAACAACCAGCAACCTGGGAAAAAGAGTTTCGTCGTTCTGCTTTCCGTCGGAAATTTTGGGTGTGACGAAGTCAAATGACTATTAGAAATGAACTAATTGCCGTTAAGCAATGTTAAAACCGTTCCGACATGTATGGAGCAGCGTTGTGGGATCCTGGTCAAGCAGTGGTGGGGAAAAAGGGAGCGACACCCTTGTATCGAAATTCGACTACAGTCGGCCCGATTTTCTAGGACTGACGGCTGATGAGACACAGGTCGCGGGCGACCGGACATCTCGACCGATTATTGTACCTAGGGATATCAGTAGGCTTCCGTGGAATTCTGGATACGCGGAGTAGGTTACGCATGAATGATACTGGCGAGTTTTAGTAACCAAATCTATATGACATAAAATCACAATATATGCACTAGCTCTAGTACTATAGCCGCTTACATTAACTGCCGCTGGGCTATAGCATCAACCATTACGAATGCTCTGGACCAACTTACTCCAGCCAGTCAGCGGGAACTATGTATTTCCGCATGTGGAGGGGTGGGCGGGTTGTGTTGGTTGTGGACAAAAACATTGTTGTTGTCAAGTAACAAATTAATAATAGTAATTTGTTCATCTTTCATGACAAAACTAATATTACAATCTCTTTTGATCGCTTAATTTGTTACTTGACAACAACAATGTTTTTGTCCACAACCACCCCAACCCGCCCACCCCTCCACACGCGGAAATACATAGTTCCCGCTGACTGGCGCTGCTGCAGCGCCGCCAGAAATGGCCGTTTGAAGTTCGCAAATCGAATGTTTGTTCACAAGAAATACCGCAAGTATACCATTGCAACGATAGTTAGAGGTTCAATTTTAGTAGCGGCTATAACTTAAGACATATTCACTTCGGATAAGAGGCATTAATTGCCTACCACAGACGTTTTATAGTCGGGTATAATCGGGGATAAGTTGGTCCATCGCATGCCCCATGGGTCGGTCTATAGCCCAGCGGCAGTTAATGTAAGCGGCTATAGTACTAGAGCTATATATGCACTAGATTATAATATCTAAATAAGATCATGCAGTTGGTTCACTATAGTATTTGGACGACTAGTAATATTAGTATTGCTGCATGGATTTTGCAGTACAAAAGTAATAGATAGGTGGACGTAGATTACTTGATGTAGACACATCGGGCATGGCCATCCCTCGTCGACTGTTGTGGTTATGACTTATGTTATCGGTATACCGGTACCTTATTGTAATTGGCAAATCCACCTAAAAATAGGAAGGCAAATTAATAGGATTTGTTACGAAATTATGCAAGAAAAAGAAGATCCGTGAAGCACAAAAAGGTATGTGCATCGAACATCTAAAAAAGGGACATTTACCGCACAACTGCAGTTCCTTCTGTGCAGTGTGTATTTACAAACATATTGCTTTTGCCATGGCTCTAGACAATTATACTAGGGGATGATTGGCAAGCAATATAGAATCAGATATAACTGTGTACCCTGATAATGGTAAGGAACATCATATCACTCCTGGAGTTCATTTTGTCAAATTCAATGGCTAAAGATATCAACAATAATTCTGGCCAGCTATATGCTGACCAGCTGTTTAGAGTCGCTCATTGTTGCTAACCTATACATTTAGTTCCTGGAACAGTCCGCCATTGAAAGTGCAGCACTCGGTATAAACCCAGAATTTAGAAATGTTATGTTGATGATCTGTTAACCATTATAAGTAAGAGTGGTTCACAACATCTCAGTGACCAACCATCAGAACGCAGCTGATACGTACTATGCACAATAACAGGCATGAAAATCTTTTGCAGATTTTCTAGATTTGGATTCTTAAATTTATCATCCGTGAGATTGATGCAAAGCTTGATTGAGAACTATCGGAGCACATAATTTATAGTATAATATGCAGGGTTTGTAATTATCACGGGTCCGGATGCAAATACTCCCCAATTCTATTCTTAAACCCCATGATTTGCCCCAGCAGGAGTCCATGCATTTCGCTGAGAGTCTCCCTGTAAGTGATTGCACACGGACACGCACAGACAGTGTATTCGTTACTGTTTTTGGCCTGCTGTTGCGTGCCTAAAAATAGCCTGAGTGCATCGGTTACCCATTGCGTAGCTCAGGCGATCGGTATGTGCAGCATAGTGCTGCAAGGTCAAACAGCATAATGGCCAATATGAGAGTGAAAGTAATTTCTGTTCTAATTTCTATTTCTGAATTCCAGAATTTTAACATATTTCTAACGAAATGTTTAGAAAACTTCAAAATCTTCAGAATCTGATACAACCAGATCAGGCAAAACCAGACAAGACTATACCCGACACCACACCCTCACCTACGCACCAAGACCATTATCACCACCACCCACATGACCCCCAACAGCCACCATGACATCATCATTGCCACACTACCACTCTACCACCCACCAGGACCTTCAAAACCCCACATCACCAGCTTGATCACGGCTTAAATAAGGTATAACCCCTATACAGGTATGAATATATTGCCTGTTTTTTTATAGGGTCATTAATGGTGGCAAGTCTGTGAGAAATGAGGACCAGTCGTCATGTGAAGTTTTCCAGCTTGTTGATGAGGAGGATCTTCCATCACCAGATGGCGTACCAGGGTCGTGTTACACTTACAGCAAGGAACAAGACAGTATCGAAAAGCGACTGTTTTCTACTACAATTGTGAGAAATGGCGAATAATTATCTCCTATTGCCTAAAATTGTGTGATCACTATTTATTATTGAGGCAGTGGTATCTTGCACTTACCTAGTAGTAGTATGCATAGAAAGGTGAAAAACTAATTGATAGTCAGTGCACAAGGGAAATGTTCATTATTACTATATTTCTAGGACCCAGAAGATCGAAAAGTTGTGTACTTTGCCATCTTTGATGGACATGCAGGCTCAGGTGCTGCTCTCTATGCTTCCAAGTTACTTCACTTTCACATACAGGTGTGAGAACAAACTTTTTTCAAAACCTGATTATTGTGACAACAATAAGTGGCTTTTCCAAGACATGTCATGTGTGACTTTATACTCCATTTTTATAAACACACCAATACTACTGCAGTTTGGGTTGATGCTCACCCTGTAATGCATTTCCTTCCTTAATGTATCTCCACAGTCCCATATTTATCCATTCATCACATCATACCCGGTAAGATTTTCCTAAACTTCCTGTCATTTCTCGACCTGTTGTCATGTGACGCGCTTCTCCTCTCTGGCTGTTCTGCCCACTAGCCGTTTATTGTTGGTTTATGGTTGAAGGAGAAGATGAGCCAAGTTCAGGAGTTGCTGTACAAGTCGACACAGGAAGGGCCGGTGAGAACGAGCGAGATCGCTAAAGCGATGGAGGACAGCGGACTGTTCTGCGATGTGAAGCCGGTGTCCGTTGATGAGCTCGTCATCGGAGCGCTGGAGACGGCATTCCACGAGATGGTGTGTTGAAATCCACATACTACTCACTAGTCTGCTGAAATCTACATACTACTCACTAGTCTGCTGAAATCTACATACTACTCACTAGTCTGCTGAAATCTACATACTACTCACTAGTCTGCTGTGCTGCTAAGTTACTCAAACATAGGCTGGGATAATCAGATCCTTAATATCAGCTCACATAGCAAACAGGTGGGATGCTTGTTGTATTTGCTTACGATGCTGATGACACTTCCTCGCATTTCAGGATGTTCAGATTGGCAAGGAGAGACACATGTACAAGATAACTGGTGGTTGTGCAGTCATTGCGGCGATCGTTTTCCTTGGGAAACTTTATGTGGCGAATGCAGGAGACTGTCGGGCCATAATCTCACGAGGTGCTCACGTCATCCCCATGTCAAACGACTTCACACCGGAATCTGAGCGACAGCGGCTGCAGTATTTGGTATAGCATCAGTACTTAATAGATTGCTCCGAAAAATGACATTTAATATTGCTAAAATTTCATTTCTACATCTTTTTGGTACTGTTTATTTGTTTAGTGCGTAATATGAATTAAATTACTGTATGCTCACCTCCTTCCAGTGCATCTTAGATTTGCTTTGTCTTCTCTTGTTTGTGATATTTGTATCTAATGGTGTTAAATAAACATAAACTAAACTAAACTCAATCATTAGTATAATTAAAGCGTGACAGATACTACTATAAAATGCACTGGAGATAATGCTCTATGTTTATGTTACAGGCCTGGTTGAGACCACATCTGCTGGGTAATGATTTCACACATTTGGAATTTCAACACCGCATCATGAAGAGTGATGTTGGCAAGGCAGTACTGTATAGAGGCCATGACATGAAGGGCTGGTGGGTGCTATTGTCACTGCTATTGTCACATACACTTGTCAGTAACACTCAAAAACATGAAGCCCTTATTTATCTGGGTATTAATACTATGTCTTATATTATTTCTCTAAGGTTTAATCATGATTATACTACGTATGTATAGTTTATAATTCTAAAATTAATTTTAATTTAATTGTTTAGGACATACAAGAAGGTGACAGAAGAGGACACAAAAATTCCTTTAATATCAGACAAAGGCAAACGGGTAAAGATTAAAGGGATCGTTTACTCTAGGTTCTAGGGTTATTTTCAATTAATTTAGGTTAAAATTACGCTACATAAAAAGTCATGGTTCAATCACCATTAGAAATATTATAAAAAAATGTTTTAAAACTAACGACTACAGTTTGATTACAACGACGGTGGCGCCACTCAAAGCGCACGATCTGATAAGTTGCGCAAAACGAATTTTCAGCCAAGGGCTACAGACCAAGGGTGTTTCTTATTTATTAATTTAAAAGCAAAAGGATTGTAATATCTTATAAACGACATATAGTTTCAGTTATATTATGGATAAATTTGTCCTAAAATGAACATCGTTCGGTTAACTAGCATTTAGGAATAAATATAATTGCACCTTTGTGATTAGCCCTCGGTCTGTAACGTACAAAATAAATTGACAAATGCGCAAAATTTTTAGGGTGGCAGCACGGTCGCGGGTGTCAATGGCGCCGTTCAAATTTCATAGCGTTGATGTATAATTAATTATAACAATTAAATTACGTATCTGGTAACAAGTACGTGTGGGTATAGACGATTTGTTATTGATACCTTATATAATTTTTCAATATTTTCAACTATACTTGTCTATATGCTACACTGTTAACCAACATTGGTGACAGTTTCAGTTTCTGTAAGTCGAGAGCTAAGATTTTCACATTTTTGTCCACTGTGTTGTGCAGGCAAAGGTGCTGGGAACCATTGGCCTTACACGAGGATTCGGTGACTTTGACCTGAAAGTCTCTGATCGCAACCTTTACGTGAAACCCTTCCTGACTCCAACACCTGAGGTTGATCCCATTTTCATATAGCATCAGAATTCAGTTAGAAGTGATAAGATAGCAGTCGGACGTTTGGCAGGAACTACAGGCCTTTACACTGTGATACGGGTTATGCAGAGTCACATGACTTCCAGAACAATAAGATTTTAATAGGCAGGTTTTTCCATTCATAATTATCTTGAAAAAAGATAGTGTATGTTTGGCAAAGTGCAGGGGATTTGTGTGTATGTCTGTGAAAGCACTTGAGGCATACTGGTAAAATGAACTGTTCATTTGCAAAGTTATAACAATTAATTATTGTTGCATGAATGTAGCTGTCCATGCTTGGTGTGGTGATTGATAATCAATTCTTACGTTTTGCTCTTAGGTGCAGGTTTATGACTTGGCAGCATTCGACCACTCACCCGATGATGTTCTCATCATCGCATCAGATGGATTGTGGGATATTACAACCAACGAGCTAGCTGCAGAAATCGTTGCTAGTTCATTGTCACGTTTCGCTGAGACGGACAATGATAGGTAACAACACACAGTAGACAATCTTGCACATGCGCTCTTGCAATGACAGTAGGGATGAGTAGTTCACTTGCCATCCCCATTGAAAGGGGTGGAACAATTTCAATTTAATACAGTGGGATTAACAGGATCATTAATTTTGAGTGATTTAGGACATTATAAAACTAAATGTTAATAGTTTCTCGTAAATTTATAAAGTACGTGCACCTGTAATTGCATGTACTTGTGATCATGTTTAATTATCACTGTTTTTTAAACTTGACGACGCTGAAATCTCGAATCAGTTGTTGAATTCAAACGTATATCTCTGTGTGGCAGATTGAACCACTGAACGCTGGGTCATAGCTCTAAAATCCAGTCTAGTTGCATCAAAGAGCTTATAATGATCGTATGATAAGCTTATGATCTTATATGAGCTAATTATCTTATAATGATCTTATAATGAGCTTATAATTATCATTATAAGCTCTGGTTGCATTGTGTTTGTTATCACAACTAGTCATGATTGGTGGTTGTTTATGTTGCGCGTGTGCAGGTACACTTCAGCAGCTCAGGAGCTAGTGATGCATGCACGTGGCTCACAGTTCCACCCACACCTTGGATGGCGCACACACGATGACAAGCCATCCTCTAATGATGACATATCTGTCTTCGTCATGCCTTTATGCTACTACCAACTCATAGCAAAGACAACAGTGCCCACCTCATCTTCTGTGCTATCCAGGTGAGTTCCATACTAACCAGGTTAGTGCTGCAGTTACCAGAGATTAAACGTCCTATTAGTTCAGTTCTCTACTGTGCACGGAGGTCGCATGACAGCAACTCTTGTTCCGTGCCATCCAGTGGTGTTGCATGACATCCTGGTGATTCCTTGTCAACTTACCTGTCTAGCTAGGATGATGTGACATACTGTGAGCACTGACAAGAAAGAACTTAAGAAAGAAGAAAGAAATTTCTTTCGTTAAGGCCAGACAAATATTTTCAGCTTTTACTGGAGTCATTACTATAGTAGTGATTTTACTGTAATGCCCGTAATACCTCCAGACGGTCTCACTCTATTTCAGTGAACAGTTAATAATAGTAGTTAAACATCTGCTACATTAGATATTTATCTTTTACATAATTTGCATCCAATGTGTCGTAGGTCAAGTGTGGGAGTTCCTAAAGATTGGATGTCACCTGTGTTGGCGGCAGTGGAGCAGGATGCGGAAGGAATGCACTCCTGCATGTACACGTCTGGGGACTCGGGCCTAGCTGATCTATCCTACAACCTACAGGAGCTGGGCGTGGGTCACCAGGGATATGATGACCTTTACCTTGGTAATAGTGATGGTTGTCTTCAGGCCACCAAAAGCACAGATGGTCAGCGCATTAGCGCCGAGCTGCCAAGAAACTTCCAAAATTCGAGCGAAACCGAGGGTGATGGGATGCAGAATATCGAATGCAGAGCCACATCACACGTCACCTCAGAATCGCCTGACCAGAAGTTATCACCGTCTCGAGATGACTTCGTTGATGTACCTGTGGATGTGGCGGGAGAACAGCCGAATCGCCAAGGTGATGCAACAGCAGACGTGGAGGCCTCAGCAGCAGAAGAGCTTCCAGTAAACTCAAAGATATCCCAATCTCCAGACATGGCTGAGATTAATGTTGCCGAGATTACAGAACAAGTTTTAGTCTAGACCAGAGAACTTTATAAACCAGCAAAGCACAGCCAACAGAGAAAACTGGTGATTAAATATTGTCAACCATATGTCTAACAAGATAAATACTGGAAAATCTAGCCTTATGATTTATAGTATGTTTCATTGTGCTTCTCTATCAAGAAACTGCTGCCAACTGTGTATGCAACGCAATGCCATTTCTATGTAGCTGCAGCAAAGCCTGTTCTCTTATTAACAGGATATGCCATAAGCTAAACAGTAAATTTCTTGATATATGTATTGTTGATGATGTATAAGAAACAGAGAATTCATTCAAATAATAGAACAGTAATTTATACCCGGTTCAGCTGTTGGTTTTTTAAAACCCAGTTTGTGCAATAGTAATTATCTTGGCATAGATTCATACTAAGAAAGAAAAGAAAATATCACAAGAGTCAATGTTTATGTGAAAACGTAAAAGGATGATCTACAAATTATGGTAAATTACGGATTATCGTAATGATCGTTTGCTTGCAAAGAGAATATAGAACTTAGCACTATCATCTGTACTATATTATCATGAGCGCATCTATTAATATATATTATGTTGTATATATGCATATTTATATATGTGTATAGATACGTTCATGATATTATCAAGAGTGTATAAAAACAAAAACGTTTTTTCCTTCTTGATATCATTATTAGTGGGACAAAAAATTACTGGCCACGTGTCACTTTAATAGCATCAAAATCAAATGTTTTATTACTTTTATTGTTCGAGCAATGAGAATTATTTTTAGTTTAAATTGACCCCTGGAGCCTGCTGCGTGTATAGTATATTTCTATACACTGCCAAGCTTGGTACTACTTGATATGGAACGAAAAATATACCACCTGTATATAATCATGCCTGGTAATAATGTTGGCAGGGAAAACGTTCTGACAATAACGTTCCAATTACCTTATTATTTCTCGAAACTAATTGTTTAGTTAATATTTGTTAAGGTTGTGAGAAATGTATCAATGTAAGCTCCGTGACAACATGCATAAGAAAAGGTCTACATAATTTCTGACACTTATTTTCATGTGTTGGCTTTTGGTGCTATGAAGCCTTATATTGCCATAAATCTATTATATTATGAACGTCCCCCAACCAACACAACTATTTATTGTAAGTGCCATATTTAGGAGGTTAGTTATAATAAAAAAGAAACAATTTACCTCTGTAAAAGTTTTGTAATCAGTAAAGATATAGTAATATAAGTATTATTCTGCACAATTATTCTGCTATTATTAGTGTGATGTTATGACTTCCATTGCTGCACAAGGGGAAAGGTGCTGTACTGAAAGGTACCTTCTTTAATGAAGCTACTTCTTTCATAGTGACCACGCACCGCCTCGTCTCTCCGTTTTAAATACTATATAGGCCGTTTGGTTTTGACACGTCATGCCACTTTCTTTGACTTCTTTCCCCCTGTGTGCTCTATCTCCTCATGTGAAATGTTTTTTTTTACCGAATTTCAGATTGTTAAATATAGTGGAAGACGGAAGAATATTGTTAATAAATAAGAATAAAAGTCGTCGCAAAATTATCATTTATAAATGTTTCTGAGCTATTGCAATATCGTTGTCAAATATATCGTCGTAATTAAGTTAATTATTAAATAAGTTGCTATTTTCATGATTTTTGATCCACTAGCTGGTTGAAAGGGATGTTTTATATAATTGGGGTGTAGGTTCAGTTGACTTAATTATTACAGAATTGGAGCGTTATAGAACCATATACATGTTATATACCATCAGGAGTAGATAATAGGGAGGAGTGTGACATCAATAAACAAGGGAAATTTGTCATTTACTAGCCTTATAATACCTACGATTTACTACACGTAACTCATCCAACTTGAGCTCAAATCGGACACAGTACATTCGCCCATCATCGTACGAAATCGTTTCCTCGTAGACACCCGCAATCCGTAGATACAGCCTAAAACGTACGACACGATTCTCCATTCTCTGGCCATCAATCCAACCCATTGCGCGCCTATAATTCAAACAAAAGGCAGCTACCTAACGCAGGCGCATAGCCAGGGGGAGGGGCGGTGGGGCGGTCACCCCCCCCCCAAACGCCGGCCAAAAAGAGAGAGAGAGAGAAGAGAAAAAAGTGTTTTGAATCCTAACTTGTAGGGTTGAGTCTAGGGTTGAGATAGTGTCATCAGACATGAGAATATGGCCCACAGTATGCCTCAGATTGCAGGAAAATGGCTTAAATGGTTCAAAATTTTCTGGGGGGGCATGCCCCCAGACCCCCCTAGCACTGCCATGCCTACGGCACGTGCCAAACGTACGGTTGTCAAATTTGGCATGTGCGTGCATGTATGTATGCATGTATAAATGTATGTACGTGTGTTTGTGTGTGTGTATGTGTGTGTGTGCGTGTGTGTGTGTATGTATGTTCGTGCGTGCGCGATCGCGCGCGTGTGCGTAAATTATTGTGGGCTTACGATCGTGCTAGTATGTGATGGCTATCGCCGATCATCCCCCCCCCCACTCCTCGGTACGGATTTACGCCCCTGATTCGCACACTTCACGTGCTCATACATTGCCGCCCCCCCCAAAATAAAATCCTGGCTACGCGCCTGACCTAACGCGCTATTGCTAACTGAGCGAGGCATGTGGCTCGCTGGGAGATTAGGCATCAACACTCGGCGAGATAACCTTTGACCCGGTACACAGCTACACAGGCCACCTTTGACCCGGTACACAGCTACACAGGCCACCTTTGTACATAGCTGGCATGCCTTCACGCACACACGCCAACCAAATGATTAGCTCGTCGAGTGTTGCGTCCATCTCCAATCTCCCTGCGAGCCACAACGCCACATTCAGCTATCCGAGAGAGCAAACACAGCCAGGTTGCTGCCTTTTGTCTGAATTATAGGCGCGCAATGGGCGTTGGATTAATGGCCAGAGAATGTAGCTGTGTACCGGGTCAAAGGTTATCTCGCCGAGTGTTGATGCCTAATCTCCCAGCGAGCCACATGCCTCGCTCAGTTAGCAATAGCGCGTTAG